TCTTCCTAGTTGCAATCATTTCGTTTATTAAAACCCATTAAAATTGGGTTTTATATGGAAACTCAAAAATTTGTTGATGTAAGACTTGTTAAGTTTTTTTGTTGGTAAAGTTTTGACCGCTATATATTTGAGGAAACCAAGACACCCCAACTTTGTCACTTTATAGAACTTCTTAGTAAAGTTAAATATATGTAAAAAAAATTTTATATAAGGTTCTGTTTCGTTGTACTTTAGAAATACTATGAATTATTGTATGTTCATCATATGTTTTAATACGAAAGCAGAATTACGTAGTAAAAATATACATATTCTTGTGGTCAACGTGCAAAAGTTCAAGGAGCCCATAAACATGCCAATAAACAACTTTTCTTATTAGAAAAAAATTAATTTTGAACGACTTTTGCATGAATTTAAATAAAAACGACATACATTACTGCAATGACTAATCAGTAATTGGTCCAAAGCCACACCTGAGAGCTCGTAAAACAAGAAACCACAATTTAATCAGATAACTGAATTGAAAGCTATCAAAAGACAAAGCCGACTGGACTACTAGAAATCAAAGTTTAAATATTGTATAAGATAAAAGATATATAAAATTTTCATACTATTTGAAAGTGTTTCATTTTAAAAAGAACTAAGTCCATTTACTGAGAGAAAAATCTTCTAGCACAATTCAATACACTCAGTGTTTCAATTGAATATTGCAGTTTTATATAAACATTTAATATGAATGCATTCATTCAACATGAAACCGATACATTATTACAACACACTGAGCGATTCTCTAGAAATGTAGTACTGTATTAAACCGTTGGTCCGCGGAGTTGGTTAAAAATGGTCCATTAATAAAATTTAACAGGTATATGGTAGCTTGTAGTTTGTCTACTGAGAATTAATTTATTAAAAACCGAGCATAAAAAATTTCTAAATAATTATATACCTATTTTTTTAGCCTATATAATATGCCTATACACTTATACTTACTATCCAATTCATTATACATTATACCAGAGATGCATAAAGCATGTTATAAATATTATTATACAGTTCATTATTCTTAAACTTTGTGGACCGTACGTATTAAAAACAAAAATATCATAGTGGTGCTTGGTCAAAATAAGATTGGGCACCACAGCTCTAGAATCTAGCTACTGTCTTAGTAATATTTAATATTTGTTTTGTTCACTGGTCATCTTTAAAACTAAGTTTGGAGAAATATGGAGACATAAGAATCGCTTTATGATTGAAAAATATGATTTTAAAAATATTAGATAGTTAAAAATTAAATTTAAAGTGAAATGAGAATCTGCGTCATTGTATGCAATAATATCAATGCAAGTGGTTAGCTTCCAAGGTGATCGTACCAGTTAATGAGAGCCATTCTGGATGGCCAAATACTGTCAAAATTTCCACCGTATAAAATGAAATATCTCTTCTTATTCTATTCGATTTTTTTTTGTTGTTGTTTGGATCAAGCAGTCATCTCTAAACTTTAAGGATGACGCTGTGTAGGATAAAATTAAGATTAAGTTGTTTTTGGGACATATTTTCTACCCCTAAAATTTTTTAGTTTTTTGGATCAAGCATCATCTCCGACATTTCTAGGTAAAAGCTATAACATCAAAGCCGTTAGGTTTATAATCTTTCTAGGGCAAAAATAATATATTATGAGTAAAATGTTATTGAGTAAAAAGATAAAGGCTTGTTTTATAGGAAATAGTTTCTTCGTTACAGTAAATATTGCTGCAACAGCAATAGATAATTATATTTATAATTATCATTTTTAAATTATGATTTGTAAATTATAATTATCTTTAAAAAATAATAACATATAATAAATTCAACTAACAAAAGACAAAATTTTATGTGAAGAATATAAAACTTAAGCAATAAATTACTCAACACACTCATACTCAGATACTCACATACTCACCACATTTTTATCAAAATCGCACTGATTTTTGCTCGTTTCATTTCAATTGCAGATGATAAATGTGTGTGAAATTAGTCTTGTACATTTTTATTGAAAAACAAATAGCAAAATAATCAATATTTGCCAATAAAAGCTATTCATACTCTGTGTGTGTGTGTGTATTTAAGAATAACAATCAAAGGTAATAACACAGTAGGTTACTTCCAACACCCACCAAAAAATACTTTCAAGTGTCACAGTGCTTAGCGCTGCAGCACTGCTGCCAACAAGGAATGGTAGTAGTAGGAACTTCGGTGCGAGCGAGGCATAAACAAACCCTGAAAAGTATGTAAAAGACGCATCCAGTATGAGCAGCAGCAGTGCCTGCTGGCAGAATCTGCAGATGCAGGCAATGCTGCTGCTCGTACATCAGCATTCGCAAGAATAGTGCTAAAAGTAACAACGAAACTAAAAGCGCCATTATTCATGGGCGCAGAACAATAATGTAACAAAAATAAATACATTGCATATGTATTTGCTTGAATGCATATTGTGAACTGATATTAAATGCTTATAATTGTGTGTTTGTGTGTGCGTATAATATGTGCTTACTGTGTGTACAAGACTTTTGCAGTGCAATGTACAATAGTTTTGTTGGTGCGTTGGTGCCTTGGTGTTGGTGTTGGCGTTTGCAATAATGCTGTTATTTATGGCAGCTATCGTTATTGTTGGAGCTAAAGCTAAAGCTGAAGCTGAATGTGAAGCTGCAGTTGTTGGTGCAATTCTAATAAATGTGCTGCTAAATTTGTGACTTCTCTTATTGTTATTGTTATTGTAGTTGTAGTTGCTATTGTTATCATTGTTGCTGATAAATGAATGCAAAATTGTGAATTGTGAGCTGTTTGCATATGAAACACTTACGTGCATTAAACGATTTTGTTAATTGGATTTTATGATTTTTAAGAGATATTTTTATTTTGTATTAAGTTGCTGTCTTTTTTGTTTTTGTTGTTTTGGACGGTCTTTGTTTTTTTTTTGAATTTTTATTACACTTGAAGATTTACGTCCATTATGTTCTTGGCTTTTTGTTTTTGTTGTATTAAATGCAGTTTATTTGCGTTTGTGCATATGAAAAAGTGTTTTGTGTTTTTGTATTTTTGTATTTTTTGAGTGTTTTTGTTTGTGGCATTTTGACATACATTTCAGTGTACTTAAGAGGGAAATGTGTGGAAAGTGAATGTGGATGTTATTTTATTCTATTTACTTTAGTTAAATGCACGTGCAGCTTTAATGGATTGTTAGGCTTGCAGCAGCATGTGTTTGTGTAAGTGTATGTATATGTATGTGTGTGTATGCACGTTGTATTTATTTTAAGCGAATTTTTTATTTTTATAAGCTTTTAAAAACGACTTTGGCAATCTAAATTTTAAAATCGTTATTTTGCACAAATGTTTTCATTGTTTTTCAAAAAAACATAAAAAGTACATAAAACTAAAAGGTTATATATATATGTATATATAATAGTACAAAAAATAAACTTTTATTATTGCAGTTTTTATTAGAAAAAAAAATTTTTTTAGCTAACATATTTGCGAATTACACATAATGCTTTAATGGGTCAGATTGTCGATTTAATTTCACAGTACTATTTTTTTCCAATCACCAGCAACGCATATAGAGAATATGAAGCGAACATATGTTGACGACTGATCCCGAAATGCTGGTCAGACCAACGCATAGAGTGGTAGAATCTAAATAAGACGATGATCGAATTTCGATATTTTCTGAACCCGTAGAGATATTTCAATGAAAGTTTACTTAAATATAGTTTTTAAATTGGGTTTCGTATCGGTTTAAATCCGATCGGTTTGCTGAAACCTATTCAAAATTGGTTCCAAACATGGTTAACTTTTTCATTTTCTTAATTTTCTCAAAAACTTTAATAAGTAGAAAAATTAAAATGACTGTACTGAATACTTATACCATATTACTTAAGTTCAACAAGGTTCTCGAGATTCCCCCTAATGCAATACTTACCACCCACATAAAATTTTTATAAAATAAATATTTATTTTTAAAAATTTTTTCTATTTCTTTTCAACTATATATATTTTATATATATATATATATATATATAAAACAAATTCATACAAAGAATTGAAGTAACCAGACCATTGATTTTTAAGTTATTTGCACTTTTATGAAATTTTAGCGAAATTGAATTCTCCTAAGAATTTGGTCAACTTTAAGCCCTTAAAATTTTCCCACTACTAATCAAAAAATGATTTTCTATATTTTTTAAGCCTTCAGATATACTTACTCATTGCGTGGAAGAACATTTTAAATTTCAATAAATAATAAAATTTATTAAGTGAAAATGTATAAAATATTAGCCATTTTTTATAGACCTTTTCAGTTTTATCTTTGATATCCCAAAAATAAAAAGCGGACACATTTTCCAAATGTTTTTCAAAAATTTCTTGATTTTAAAGTTGTGCTATATATTTGGTAGGTGGTACACATCTAGGTGTTTGGTAGGTGTTATCTATTCTGAGTTGCTTTTATCAAATCAAACCATCATTATCTGCACCGAACGCAATTAATGCGTTTGAACTAGAAGATGAGTTTTATCGAAACGGAATCATATACTAGTATAGAAATATGAATAAGTACTGGCTCTGATGGACAATACCTCGAACACAAACTTCTATATAATTTTTTCACAATAGGGATTTAAATTAAAAAAAAATTCAAGGTTTTCAATATATAAACATAATACTGATATATCTACATAACTATATTTAAATAAAGAACTTGTAGCATTTGTCGTAAAGACTATTGAAAAGATCGATAAACCACTTTAGAAGTTAAAAAGAATATGTTCCACGGTAAAAACAAATTGGAAATATCAACTTCATGTTATAAATTGTATTGCTATTTCTCACATTTAATTTTCTAGAAGGTTACAAGATACTTATTTAAAATCTTAAATAAACTAAAACTTCTCGAAATAAATATCGGCTGAAAATATTCCAACTTATATTTTTAAAAATTTCACTAAAAACATTCCTCTTAAAATATAATATGAAATCTTTTTAAATTGTAAATAAGAACTTTTAATTTTTAATAATAATTAAGAGTTTTGAGTACACCAACAGCGACAAAAGATTTCTAAAAGTTTCTAATTTCTAAAATAGCTTCACTCCTTTGCGTTTTTAGTGTACATCAATAAAAAAGAAACCTCAAATGCTTTAACTCCGGTAGGCGAAGATACTGTGATTGTTATCAAGTTTAATTTTATAAGACTTCTATTTTTTTTTATCCATATTTCGAAAATATGTTCCCACTTAAAAACGTTTTTCAATAGTTTTTTTGAAGTTTAAATGAAATAAGAATCTTCAAACTTCAGCTGTAGATCCTTAACTGAACTACTCCCATAAAATGTTACCAATTGTCGTCTCCTCGAAACACTCCGCAACTGACCCTTTTAAACACAGACCGGATGACCTCCTCTTTGTTTTTGGTAAACTCTTCTGTGCACATCCTCCCTGGTTCTTTCCTGCAACTGGTTGGACTTCTTGATCAGTGTGAAATAAAAGATCTAAATTCAAATCATCATCTAAAACGTCACGCGACTGTTGAGTTCCTTCCGCCGGTATCGAATTTGTTACTGATTTCGGCTTACCTACCGCCTTTGAGGCAGGTGGGCCATAGCAAAATGACCTTGAATCAAGCACAAAATCAGATTCATAATCTTTTAAATTCACAACGAATGCCGTATCAGGCAAGGTTTCATCCATTTCCGGTGATGAGTACTCAAGAACAGTTGATATGTCTCCCTTGGCTAGGGCTTCTATTATTTTTCTGAAATTCTTAGTTTTCTGAAATTTATATTTAGTTTTTATGTATTTTTTAAGAGAACTTTGAAAATTTACCTTAGGTGTGTCCATCTTACAATTCAAAAATTTTGGTATGTTTTCTGGACAAGATTTAAGAAATATATATTCTAAATTAATTTTTGTTTTTTAAATTTGATAATTTATGTTAGATGAAATTTAATTTGAAATATAATAAAAGTTATTTAAGCTACTAAGTTTTTTCCCAAGACTATTTGAATATTCATGCATAAACGATGGCTGTGTGATAAGTCGGTAATAATTATTAATGTATCTTATTTGCAAAATTCTTTCAATACTTAAGAGCTTCACTCCAGACTACTTCTCCGGTACAAGAGTTTTCTTTGATCGCAAAAATTGAGGAAAAAGAATTTCTATGACATACCTCATACGAGTACATATTACAAAAGAATATTACAATCAAATTCAATAGATGCAACGACTTATTAATAGGCATTTGTGAATTATTGAGGTATCTAAATTATACGAGTTTAAACTAAAAACGAAGGAAGAATAGCGAGTAATTCTATTTGACCCACTCTATTTATCGACATCAAAATTAGTGTTGAAGGCAGCATTTTATTTAAATCAAAGCTGATGATATGCGTACTTTCACATTATTTTTGCAGAAAGCTTCCAAAAAATCTACGTTCACAAAACTAAATGACTAAGATAACTGGATATATAATATTAGTCGGATGCGTAAATAATAGTTATGAATTATGAAAATAAAATTACAAAAAAAAGTTAAAGAGATTTGTGTCCGGATTATAAAGGTCCGAATTAAAGAGATTAAAAAGAAAATAACTGCGAGTTTGGACTATCGTCAGATCTGCATTATTGAATGACTGGATTATATGGAGTATACTAAATTTCCAAAACAATGTTTCGAGTATTAGAAGGACTTACCTTGGGAAAGTTGATAATTCAAATCGATACGTGTGCAAACTTACAATTGGCTAAATACAGTATTCAATCTGGAATATAAGAAAAAGTATATTAAGTTAATAGTTTATAACCATTAATAATTAATAATTAATAAATTGTATTAAAAATGTATAAGTTTTAAACTTTGTATATTTTATAAATTGTGGTTCGCAGTTATAAGTGGGCCAAAAGAAAGAAAGAACTCAAAACCAGAAGTAGGCATATGGGTGAGAAGATGCGGGTTTATATTTTTGAAAGTTACTTTTATTTGCTAAAATACTCTTGTGTTTCAGTTCTAGCTACTAATCTTCGTTATAAAATTTTATTAATGTGTTATTATATATTAACTTTATTCTACTGCTTTCTTTTCTTGAAACATTTTAAGCCCATTCGTATGCCTTTCTAGCACACACTCTATCTCTCGCCCTCCACTTCTGTTTTTCTCCGTCTATACCGTCTTTATCTTTTTTCTTCTCTCTCTCTCTCTCTCTCTTTCTCCCTCTGGAGGTTACCAATAAAAAAGTGGGTTTGTCACAATAATCCTTCAAGAATGCAGTGATATGGTGATATAGTTTCCAACCCTTTCTAAATTTAATATAATCTAGTATTTTCTCATATTTTCTTTTCGTTTTTTCTAATTGCCATCTATATTTTTTTTTTATTCTTTTTCTCAACTTATTTTTATACATTCATTATGCGTATTCTTGAGGATAAACTTGAGGGTAACAGCCTACAGGTACAGACTGAACATTCGACATCTCTTACAGTCTGCCTTGAAAATAATATCAGGTTTTAACTCGCATCATATCTGTTATCATATCCTGTTTTCCGTATATAAGAATATATGAAGTATTTTTTCTGACTATTTTTTTCAATACTCTCTTTTTAATTATTTGTCTACATTCTTTTATTCTTATTTTTATTTTCATTTTATTTTTTTAATTTCATCACAGCCTTTACTGTGTTTTGCTACAGATCTCAAGTTTCCATTTCTTTAAATTTTTCGTGGATCTTTTTAGGAACAAAAAGTTGTGTGAGTGAACTCTACAATACAGTTCAGAGACCTATACGCACAATTCATTTTGGATCAGATTTTGTTCCTTACTTATACAATACATACCTATGTATATCGATGACCTCTGAAGACACGCATGAATTATTCGAATATTAAAACTGAAGAAGAATAGCGATATTGAGTGTTATTCAAATCTATAAAGAACATCATTAGACCTGTTTAATTAGCGAAATGTATCTTTTATTGATTAATAAGTATTTTGATATGTTCTGTTTTGTTGATATTTTTGGAAATATTCAATATGATTAACAACTTAAGCCGTTTAACAAACAAAAAGCAGACATTAATCATGATATTTTATGTAATGTTGCTTAATTTCTATGTCGACAGCTTAATCAATCATTAGCACATGAAATGTTAAGACAAAAATACGATAACGATACGATAGATACATAGATAGATAGATAGATTTGTATATTTATATGAAATGTAAGCAGTTATTTAACTATAATTCATATACACATATCCATGGCCTCCGAAAGTAAGTAAACTATTTGCATGTATGTATCTCTGCTGTGTGAGTTCATAGGTGTAGAACTCGAATATCTATTAAATGTGTATATGGACAAATCAATGATACAAAAAAACTCAGCATTCATCGATAAATAGTGAAATCGACATGCAGATAAAAATGCTTTGAGGCCAGTAAAGTCAAAAATAAGATTTTGTAATAATAATTCTTTGGATAATGTAGGCATTAGTAATGAAAATTTGATTGATTTTAAATGTTAAACAAACATTACAAAATATTTACACTTAAGTTAGATACAAAAGAGGCATTTTTATAAAATTAATATATGTAAATGTTAAATAAGTGACTTTTTGATATTAGTAATATTCCGAGTAAAAGTGGGTCACTTCATTGCTGATTAGAAATAAATTTAGTAGAATTTAGATAAAGCTAAAGTGCACACAGTTGCATTTAAATAATTAGACTTATCATTCTAGCTGGTCGGGGTCTTATCAGTTAAGTCAGAACATATACACCATATGTGCATACAAAACTTAAATTTAGTACAAAGATAAGTTTGATTAATAATACTAAAGTAATTTTGATTTATTTTATAAAAATATGGAACAACTAGCAGAGCTACATAGCAGCAGCGTAGTTAATGGGGAACAGTCCGTCCAGCTATTGGGTAGATAAATTCCATAGTGGATTATATAAGAATAGGTACAATGAAACACAAATTATTACAAATCTGATCTGAACCACAGATTAAAACAAAATTGTCAATATGCGTTTAATCATTTGGAAGAAAAAAATTAAATATTCTCACACTTCAAATCTCAATCTTTGACTTTTTAATCTAAAATATTTATGACCCGATTATATATAATGGTAGTTTCATTTTAAACATGAATACCACAAGATTTTTTCTACCACAAAAAATTATAAACGAATTGAAATTGAAAGAGTGACTCACACGCCCACTTTGCCATTATCACTATCATTATAATAATAATAATATATATTATTTTCGTTGGAAAACACCGCAAGAGGCGCCAGGGTGGTGCCTATTGAATTATATGTGCCCAAGAAGTCAACAGCAATTTGTCAAGTTCTGCTAATCAGTTAATGACTGATTGACTGACTGGCTGACTGACTGATTGACTGAGTGAACGCACGACTGGAAAGGCGACAATATGGGTGAATGTGTTTCACTGATAAGGAATAACAAAAATTTCGTAATATTTTTAGTATTTGAAATTTTTTTTGTTGCTTAATATGTGATTATTAAACAAAAAAAATGTTTTGTTTGATTATTGCAAATCGCATTTCTTAAGACTGACTTTCTCAAGCAAACATGGGCAATTGTTTATTTAATTAAATGTATCATATATTTAAGTGATAAAAAAAAATTTCTATATATATACAGTGAAATATACAGTGAAATTTATCAACAAAGGGGAGTTCTACGTAGTTATAAAATAAGTCTAATTACGTCTGACTAAAAGAAAACAATGGAATGACCGGAAATTTGAGGTAATCATTAATGATAATTGTTTAATAAAAAAAAGAATTTTAAAAAATTCTTTATGAAACATCCAACTAAAGCCACAATTTTTTTCTTTCAGAGTAGCAAAATACATGCAACTTACGAAAGTAAACACGTGAAGCAACAACAATGCTCTTAAAATCTTCAGAGTTGGGTCTTAAGTTTCAGTGCAGTCAAATTCAAAACTCAATCTATTGTGAATATTCACTGAAAATATGTTCATTTCATTTACATTTATTTACTAATAAATTCAAGTACATAAATAAATAAATTAATTTAAATATATAAGGTGGAAATGCTGACCACTGCCCTTCTAATATTCATTTTGTTTTCTTTTATTTAAATTAATTAATTTTTTTGTTTACAATTTCTTCATACTGTACACAATACAACAAAAAACAAAAACAAGCATTTGAAATATTTTAAAAGTTGGCAACCAGACTTAATGCTGTTTTTTAACAACTCTGAAAGAAAAAAATACAGCCTAAGTAGAACCAAAGAGTATACACAAAAAGGTATACTCTGTAATAAAATCTAAGAAATACATTAATAAATACGGTAAGTATCAACATCAACCGTGTGAAATCTTATTCCCTTAAACCATTTCTTCAGACTGAACAACACGGTTTCCAGTCATTACAACACCTGTCATGAGAAGCCCAGATCAGTAATATCATCTTTTTTGACAATACAAAAGATCTTTTTTTCTCAGTTTGTTTGTGTCAATTGTATTCATTTCATATTCTACACAGTTCACAACATTTGATAAGTTGAACAGCAAAAAAATCAAACATCACTCATTTATTATTCAATCATTCGATTTCTATTCACAAATATTTACATGCAGCAAATGTAAAAGAAGCTAAACCTGAATAAGAAGAGTTATGTCTAAAACATTGCTTGCTTTTAGATCGACAAGAATATTGTATACCCCGATCGCAGCTGGATTGACTCTATAAATTAAGATATACTATAGCGCTCTTTAAACATTTAAAATATCTGAAATGAACGCAGCCGTCAAAGAGCACTTCAAGCCCACAGAATAAAATAGGTTATAGTATTGAAAACAAAAGGTTTGGAGTAACTGAACTTAGTCCATAAGCTTTAACCACATACTAGTTAAATTGACCTGATAATTTCGTTGGAAAAATATCGGCTCATGAGATATAGAAGATATGAAAACCCCCAAGTAGTATGGTTGAACCCACATGATGCGTTGAGTAAGAATATTTTAATCTGAGATTTAGTTAAAAACTGGTTAAATCAAAAAAATTATTTTTTTGGTATGTATGAATATTATCATATAATATTATGATATATTATGACGTTGATTCCTGCTTTCATGAAAACCTCTGCATTTAAATCAATATATATTATTAGTTAATTATTATCGTTTAGATTAGTTACATGATTGTATTAGGTCAAGTACAGGATGTTTTTTTTTTAAATTCAAGCGCCTCACAGTTGGGATCGCCTATAATTTATGTGTTGAAGTACAACATTTGGGTGATAGTTATATGGTATATGATACAAGCATACGATACAGTAGTATGTTTAGTTCTTTGTTAATATTTATGTTTTTAATATACCACATTGCCTGGGTTACCATTTTCAGTATCTTTACATATGTAATATACATATATATATGCAATTTTCTTTTATAAAGACTTCAACTCACCGGTGAAAGATGTCCACCGTTTTGGTGTTTCATCAAAAAGTGGACCATAACACGAAGCTCAACTCTCTATTTTAACGTTATTTAGTTAATTTACTACATTTTGTCACCTCTGTGTTTCTTTTGTTAGCATTGGACCTATAACTGCTGTGTTATATTATGTGAGATATGTTGTAAGGATCAAGTACCCTCCGTAATTGTAAATTGAGTACTTGTTTTTTTTTTCAAATATTCTCCTAGGCAACGCAATTGTGATAACGCTTTGCCCTTCTCTTTTAAGATTTGAAGCCTTCACAAAAC